AAAAAAAAAAAAAAAAAAAAAAAAAGAAATTACAGGAAGTTAAATTCAAGATGTCTATTATATATTCAAGTGAGAAATTCACTCAAATGTCCTTTGCTGGAGATACAAATATAGATGTCATCAACAAATAGTGGTATTTAAAGCCCTGAGACCAGATGATTAACATTTAAAGAGTGAGAGTTAAATAGAGAAGATTCTCATGATCTATACGTGTACTCTGAATTTAGTTCGTAATGCATTCCAACATTTAGAGGTTGAAAAGGGAAAAAGAAGCATCAAGAGAGATTGAGGCTGGGCGTGGTGGCTCATGCCTGTAATCCCAGCACTTTGGAGGCCGAGGTAGCGGGGGGATCACTTGAAGCTGGAAATTCAAGACCAACCTGGCCAACATGGCAAAACCCTGTGTCTACTAAACATACAAAAATTACCCAGACATGGTGGCACGTGCCTGTAATTCCAGCTACTTGGGTGGCTGAGGCACGAGAATCACTTAAACCTTGGAGGTGGAGGTTACAGTGAGCTGAGATCGCATCACTGCACTCCAGCCTGGGCAACAGAGCAAGACTCTGTCTCAAAAAAAAAGAGAGAAAGAGATTGAGAAGGAGCAGCCAGTAATGTAAGAAAACCAGGAGTTAAGTGAAGGAATTATTTCAAGAAAGGAGTGATAGTTATTTCAGATGCTACAGAGGACTGGGAATTGCCTGCTGGATTTGATAAAATGATCTTTGGTGATCTTTGTGAAAGCTTTTTAGTATGGATAGAGGAGTGGAGATTGGAGTGGGTTAAAGAGATAATGGTCCTTCGGACATTAAAAAAGATAGCCAGGCATGGTAGCTCTGACTTGATTCTAGTAGGGCTTGATAAAATTGTGGATGAAATAAGAGTGGCCAGGAATGGATGATTATTATAGTTGGGTAATTAATACATGGGAGTTCATTGTGTAGTTGTTGACTTTTTGAGTGTTTATGTCAATAAATTTGAAATTTTAGATTAAATGGGCAAAATCCTGGAATTAAGGGTCTATGTATAAGAGTGATTATTTTTAGGGACAGTGGGTAAAGAGGCAGGTGATTTTAGGGCAGCAATTGGAGGTTTCTCTTGGGTCAAAGAATCATTAGAATACAGATATTTGAATAAGTAAGTGATCCAGCAAGATAGGAGGCGGTGGTTGCAAAGTAGGGTACTTGGAATTAAGATTTTGGCGGTAGAAAAGTTTGTATTCACAAGGTCTAGAATATGACAGTTGGAGAGGTTTTTTCATATGGGGTAGAGGAAGTTACTCTTAGAAGAGAGAAGATCAAGTTATTGTTGGATTAATTGCATTGATGTTGATGTCATAGTAACAGGAGAAGTGGTGAGAGAGAAAAACAGTGAACTGGGTGCTCACGCCTATAATCCCAGCACTTTGGGAGGCTGAGGTGGGTGAATCACAAGGTCAGTAGTTCAAGACCAGCCTGGCCAACATGGTGAAACCCCATCTCTACTGAAAATTCAAAACAAAAAAAATTTAGCTGTACATGGTGGCACATGCCTGTAATCCCAGCTACTTGAGTGGCTGAGGCAGGAGAATCGCTTGAACCCAGGAGGTGGGGGTTGCAGTGAGCTGAGATCGCGCCACTGCACTCCAGCCCAGATGACAGTGTGAGACTCCATCTCAAAAAATAAAAAGGAGAAATGCACCTTCCAAGGAGGAATAGCAGGTGGCATAATTCAGTAGCACATTCTACAAGAAGCTGAAATGTTTTAGAAAAGGAAAGAAGACGAAATCCTGTATGGCATAAGAGTAAGGAAGAGATCTGTTTTACCTCTGGGTTCTGGAATGCATGAGAATACATTTTAGGGTGTGGTGGCTCATGCCTATAATCCCAGCACTTTAAGAGGCTGAGGCAGGAGGATCACTTGAGGCTAGGAGTTCAAGACCAGCCTGGAGAACATGGCAAAACGCTGTCTTCACAAAAATAAATGTAAAAATTAGCCAGGTATGGTGGTGCGTGCCTGTAATCCTAGCTACTTGGGAGGCTGAGGTGGGAGAATCACCTGAGCCCGGGAAGGTGGAGGCTGCTAGGAGCCATTATTGTGCCATTGCATTCCAGCCTGGGCAACAGAGTGATACCATCTCAAAAAAAAACATAGAAAAAGTCTGCAGGGGAAGAAGGATTCTCAAGAAAGCCAGGCTTCATTCCGTTAGAACAAAAAGGTAAAAGAAATTTTCAGAAGAGAAGTGCTGCACAGCTTTCTATGAGAGTGCTCTTGATTGTTTTATCCTTTTATCTTTCTTTTCATTTCTCACTTGTTGCTGGCCTGATTTGGACAGTACAGGCTATCAGTATTCATTCCCTGGATGAGTTTTGCAGAAAGATGGGAACTCCTGTGCCAGGTGTGATTGTAACTTTTGCCCTTACAGTATCTCTTTTTTTTTTTTAACAGTGTCTCTTTATCATGGTTTCATTATCTTCAATAGCCCATGTAATAACCACTATCTGTTTCCAGATGAGCTGTAAAATATGCCACTCCTATGTTAATTCCTTGAATTGCTTCTTTCTCCCCTACCTCCAGTTTTATTGTCTATAATTGACAAGTCGGAATTATATATACATCTAAGATATACAACTTATGTTTTGATAATATGTATAAATTGTCGCATTGCTTCTTGTTAGGGCGAACATAAGTAAATTTTTTAAAAAGTTGGAAAACTCACAGGGCCATCTTGGCATAATCATTGGCAGTTAAAAGAAGTTACTCCAGAAATGGTATGTAGCTTATAACTCTGAGTAGTTAAGGCAGCACTTAGCATGAACCATGTCAGTGATTCTGATTAAAGAAGACTTCTAAATATACAGCTTTCTGCAATGTGTCAGTGTTCTTGTCATGGAAAGATCTAATTATTTTAGTTTAATGTGAATTAAATCCTCTGATAGAATTAGGGCTGAAGGATAATTGGTATTTGATTTCATGATTAGCTTATCTTGTTAAATTTTCGTGGGCCACATGGACTCCCTTAGAGACATCTGGCAGTCATATGTCTACCCTTCTGTAAGCCCAGATACAGCATGGGAAGCCAGAGTGTATTTGGTACCGGGCTGCAGCTAGTGGATTAGGGCCAGTAACACTGAGCTGTCAACATAAGCATACTGCTGTGGCAAATGCCCCTTCCTGGGATTACTTCAAGAGAAAATGAAAAGGAGCTAGACCTCGAACTAGAAATGCTTCTTAAACTCTTTATCTTTTCTTCTGTTTCAGTGATGACAGTATGGGCTATCAGTATCCATTTACTCTACGAGTCGTGCAGAAAGATGGGAACTCCTGTGCTTGGTGCCCATGGTATAGGTAAAGTGACCTGCAAAAGAATTATTTTAGTAGAATTTCAGCTTTAGATATTATACCATTTTTATAAGATTTCCAGTAAATAATGTGAATAATGAGAAACTTAAACTTAAGAATTGTGGCCAGGCGAGGTGGCTCACACCTATAATCCCAGCACTTTGGGAGGCCGAGGTGGGTGGATCACCTGAGGTCAGGAGTTTGAGACCAGCCTGACTAACATGGTGAAACCCTGTCTCTATTAAAAACATAAAAATTAGCTAGGCGTGGTGATACATGCCTGTAATCTCAGCTACTTGGGAAGCTGAAGCAGGAGAATCGCTTGAACCCAGGAGGCAAATGTTGCAATGAGCTGAGGTCACGCCACTGCACTACAGCCTGGGTAGCAAGAACGAAACTCTTATCTAAAAAAAAAAAAAAAAAGTTCATTTTTACTTCCCTTTGAGATTAATAGCTCAGTTTTACTTTTGAGACTTAGCTGGTTTTGTAAACTGTACAGTCCATACTAAATGCATAGTTTGTGATAAACATTTATTATTCTATAACTTATCCTCTCCTCTCTCTTTTTTTGAGATGGAGACTTGCTCTGTTGCCCAGGCTCAGGTGCAGTGGCACCATCTTGGCTCACTGCAACCTCTGCCTCCCAGGTTCAAGCAATTCTCCTGCCTCAGCCTCCTGAGTAGCTGGGACTATGGGCACATGCCACTGACCCAGCTAATTTTTGTGTTTTTAGAAGAAATGGGGTTTTGCCATGTTGGCCAGGCTGGTCTCGAACCCCTGACCTCAGGTTATCCACCTGCCTCAGTCTCCCAAAGTGCTGGGATTATAGGCATGAGCCACCGTGCCAAGCCTCTCCTTAAATATAAATAAGTTTGCCAGTTCTGAGCACAATAGAATATAATCTTTACTGGACCTTGCTGGAAGTCTGTTCTTGGTTTTTAAAGAGTTATGGAGATTGATTGGTCATTACTGCTATAGCAGGGAAATTGCTTAATAATGCTAAAGTCCACCTTTAGAGAACTGCAATAGATTTAGCAAACTGAGTCTAAAATAGGCAGTAGAACCATGACTTTATTATATCCTCCTCCCCTACCTCATCTCCCACCCCACCCCTGCAACTCTATAAACTTTTTTTTTTATTTGGAGACTCTCACTCTGTCACCCAGGCTGGAGTGCAGTGGTGTGATCTCGACTCACTGCAACCTCCACCTCCCAGGTTCAAGCTTCCTGCCTCAGCCTCCCAAGTAGCTGGGATTGCAGGTTCCTGCCGCCATGCCTGGCTAATTTTTGTATTTTTAGTAGAGACAGGTTTCACCATGTTGGTCAGGCTGGTCTCGAACTCTTGACCTCTGGTGATCCACCTGCCTCAGCCCTCCAAAGTGCTGGGTTTATAGGCATGGGCCACCATGCCCAGTCTCTATAAACTTTTTAATGCATTTATTTAATGTGCCATTTTGCAAATAAGGAGCTAGGTTTTATACCAGATAAATTGTCCTACCTCAGAGCATTAAATAACTGAATTTGGAATGCCTTGAGTGCTGTAGTATTTCACATAGCCAATTCCCATGTCATTTATTTACCATAAAGCTCACATCTTCCTGTGTATTAACAGACGGTTATCAAATACTTTGTAAAACTAAAGAATTGGAAAGTGAAAAGCATGATTCCCTGAAATGATAATAACTATTAATAAGTATCCCTACATTTATCAGATTCTGAAGTTAGAAACCCATGACAAATTGTGAGGCCCAGGAGGAAAATAGAAAAGTAGGAAGGGAGAATATTTTTTATTAAAAAAATTTAGATTCCTTTATAATTATTTCTTCCTCTGTGGATCTTTTCTCCCTTTTTAGATTTTGCAGAGGCTGTAAAATTGATTGTGGGGAAGACAGAGCTTTCATTGGAAATGCCTATATTGCTGTGGATTGGGACCCCACAGCCCTTCACCTTCGCTATCAAACGTCCCAGGAAAGGGTAAGTATTTAGGGCCACCATAAAATGGTGGTTTTCGTATTGGAAATTTCCCCCAGTTTAACTGTTATGCTATTTCTGTTTTAGACAATTTTAAAACAACCAGAAAAACATTCATTGGCATACTCTGTCACCTAACATATTGACTGTTTGCTTGGGCTTTTTCATTTTCCAGCTTCTAGAGTTCATTGTATTGGGGCATTGTCTTTGCCATTTTGTGTTGCTGAAACAGAGTACCTGAGGCTGGTAACTTATAAAGAAAAAAGGTTTATTTTGTTTACTGTTCAGCAGCCTGGAAAGTTCAAGGACATGGCCCTGGCTTCTGGCAAAGGCTTCTGTGCTACATCATAACATGGCAGAGAAGATCAAAGGGGAACAGATACAGGCAAGAGGGAGGACCAAACAGGAGGAAGATCCTTGCTTTCTAAGAGCTCACTCTTTTGGGAACTAAGTTCTCAGAAGGAGAACTCACTGCTGCAAGAATGGCACCAAGCCATTTATGAGGATTTCACCCCCATGACCCAAACCCCTCCCACTAGGCCTCGCCTTTTAACAATGCCGCATTGAAGATCACATTTCAACATCAGTTTTGGTGGGGACAAATAACCCATATCCAAACTATTGCAGGCATTAAATTTCAAAAATATTTATAAGTGAACCTTGAAACAAAACTATATCTGGCCATGACATATCAATAAGCATCTCTCTGTTAAATATTATTGAAGTTGCAGCATTTGGTAACCACAATTACTTAGCTCAGATGCGTCCCAGGGCTATAGCTGCTACCTTTAATAGGCATAGTGATAAGAAAAGTTAGAGAATGGATTGAAATGTTTCAATTTTGGATACCTAAGAGCACATCTCAATGGCCACTCTTCATACTTCATTCACATCCTTCTATTGTCACTCTCTGGCCAGAGCAATTTTTAAATTTTTGAAAATATTATGGGGCTGTCTATGGACCCTGCCGGGTGCAGGGGTAGCAGTGGGCAAGAAAAAAAGAAAAAAAAAATGTTGCTTCAGAAAGAATTTTAACTCCATACCTAAAAATGTTTGCCTCCAGCAGTTTTTAATCAACCAAATATTATTTGAAGGCTAAAGACATTAAAAATCCAATAGAGAGGTAAAAGCAATGGAGTAAAAGGAGTTTATTAAGTCACATGAGGAATTGTAGTGGTTTTTGCATTTTTATGGCTCTTGATTCTTGATAGTTGGAAATTTCCTGCACGATTTCTTTCTTTCTTTTCTTTTCTTTCCTTCCTTCCTTCCTTCCTTCCTTCCTTCCTTCCTTCCTTCCTTCCTTCCTTTCTTTCTTTTTTTCTTTCTTTTCTTTCTTTCTTTCTTTTTCTTTCCTTCCTTCCTTTCCTTCCTTCCTTCCTTTCTTTCCTTTCTTTCCTTCCTTCCTTCCTTTCCTTTTCTTTCCTTTCTTTCTTTCTTTTTCTTTCTTTCCTTCCTTTCTTTTCCTTTCCTTTCCATTCCTTTTCCTTTCCTTTCCCTTTCCCTTTCCTTTTCCTTTCCTTTCCTTTCCTTTCCTTTCCCTTTCCCTTTCCTTTTCCTTTCCTTTCCTTTCCCTTCCTTTCTTTTCTTTCTTTCTGACAGAGTCTTGCTCTGTCACCCAGGCTGGAGTGCAGTGGCACACTTTATAGTGGTTGCTTTTGTATTAAGATCTTGGCTCACTGCAACCTCCACCTCCCAGGTTCAAGTGATTCTCCTGCCTCCTGACTAGCTGGGACTACAGACATGTGCCACCATGCCTGGCTAATTTTTGTATTTTTAGTAGAGACGGGGTTTCACCATGTTGACCAGGATGGTCTCGATCTCTTGACCTCGTGATCCACCCGCCTCGGCCTCCCAAAGTGCTGGGATTACAGGCGTGAGCCACCGCGCCCGGCCTCCCTTTCCTTTTCCTTTCCTTTCCTTTCCCTTCCTTTCTTTTCTTTCTTTCTGACAGAGTCTTGCTCTGTCACCCAGGCTGGAGTGCAGTGGCACACTTTATAGTGGTTGCTTTTGTATTAAGATCTTGGCTCACTGCAACCTCCACCTCCCAGGTTCAAGTGATTCTCCTGCCTCCTGACTAGCTGGGACTACAGACATGTGCCACCATGCCTGGCTAATTTTTGTATTTTTAGTAGAGACAGGGTTTCACCATGTTAGCCAGGATGGTCTTGACCTCCTGACCTTGTGATCTGTTCACCTTGGCCTCCTAAAGTGCTGGGATTACAGGCGTGAGCCACCGCGCCCAGCCCACTGTTCCTTAAAGCATTGCCTTTGGATAAGTTAGTAATGGTAATTGACTTTTCTATCTTGTTATGCTATTGAAGACTGGGGAAACTACCAATTCTAGACCTAGTTTCCTATTTAGATCCCAAAATATACTCCCATACACCGAGGCTCCTGGGAACCCTTTCTAGCCAGGAATGAGTATAATTTGTGGATACTTGTCAAATGAAAGATCACTGGGCTAAAGCTAAAGAAACTGAAGAGAAACTGATGTTCTAGATCATGGTCACTAGGAAGGTAATTCAATAAACTCAGTCATACTTCCTTTGAGGAGGGAAAATGTTCACAGTTGATAGATTCATAAATCTTTGTCAGCACAAAATCTGATAGGACATTATTCTGACAAGACATTACTGTCAATGATGATAAATTATTTGGCTCTATAAATCTCTTCCCCTTTTTAACAAGTTCAATGTGCAATCTGAAAAGCTCTGGAGGACATCCTGCTTATAGGAAACAGGGCCTGCGTGACCTGTTCAATCTTACCCTACGTCCACTTTCAGTGATGCACTTAGGATACCATGGAAACAAAGGGCTATTGAGGTATCTTGCCTTGCTAGGGAGTGTGGGGCCGTATGACTAATTTGGACTTCCCTACATGTAGGGTTTCTGCATGTGCTTAGACACGTAGACTAAGGAGATACCTTGGTTCAAAATTGAGATTATTGCCTATATGCTTTATATTTTTTTTATTCCAGTGATTTCCCTTTTAGGAATATATCTTAAGGAAGTAGAATACAGTTACTCCATAATTTGCAGGCAGATATCATCATAGCATTTTTTCGGATAGTAAACAGTTATAAACAACTTATATTTGTCTCACGTTAGAGGAATGATTAAATAAAGTGTGGTGTATTCATTGGATAAAATATAATGCAGTTGTTGAAAATGATTACCAGGAGTTTTTGCTAACATTTATGGGAAGATGCTTATGATATTATGTGAAAAATTTTTTAAAAACAAGACATAAAATTGCATATACTGGAAATACTATCTTAAATATTGAAAAAAATACTATTTAGGAAAAAGGACAGAAGAAAATCTGCCAATATTTTGACAGTGGTTGCCTTTGTATTAAGAATATAAAAGGATTCTCTGCCTTTTTACATTTTTCTCTGCTTTCCAGAATTTCCTCACGAATATTGTACTGGTAATCAGAAAAAAATAAAGGGCAATCACTCTTATCCTTTACATTTCTCCCCTGTTTGGACCTCAGACTTCTCAGTAGAAAATTTAACTAGATGCCAGCCTGGGCAATATGACAACCTGTCTTTACAAAAAATGCACAAATTAGCTAGGTGTGTTGGTGTATACCTGTAGTCCCATCTACTTGGGAGGCTGAGGTTGAAGGATTGCTTGAGCCCAAGATGTCAAGGCTGCAGTGAGCTGTGATCTCTCCACTGCACTCCAGCCTGGGCAACAGAGCAAGACACAGAGCAAAACCCTGTCTCAAAAAAAAAAAAAAAAAAGAAGAAGAAGGCCGGGCGCGGTGGCTCAAGCCTGTAATCCCAGCACTGTGGGAGGCCGAGGCGGGTGGATCACGAGGTCAAGAGATCGAGACCATCCTG